CTTGCTCTTGCACCCCTCACTATCCACATCATGCATCTCACCATTTTACTCCCACAGTAAAGGGCTCAGTGAGGTGGAGAGCTATATACTAAAAGCATGGGAATGGTGAGCTCACAGCTGTTGATTCCTGTGCCTGGATGCAGCCTGTCCCAGAGGAGCTCAGATCAGTGCTTGCATTTAAATTCCATTCACTGTATCTAGAATTCGGGGGGAATTTGAGAGTTTTAATTCTGACAAGTCTCAGGGTCTTGGTGGGTTTTATTTAGTAGCTCATACATTGACTATACTTGAAAACAGATTTTCAGAGGAACAGAAAAATAGCATTCTTTACATAACTATTATCCTCCTTAAAAAATGTTCCTGCTTCAAAGCTCAGAGTCTTCAGCACTTTCCTACAGCAAGTTCACTAAGATGGCTGAACTATCTCAACTGCTTTGGCTGGAGGTTTTCTCAAAACCTTCAGATTGAGGCAAACACCCGCACTGGAAAATATCAGCCTGAAGAGAGTTTGCCAAAATAGGAGCATCCAAGAGCAGGACTTCACAATAGGAATGGTCAGGTAACCATAAGTCCCAATACCAGCGCTGTTCGTAAAAGAGGTACAGACAGACTGATGGATCCAGCATGAAAGGTTAGCTGGCAGAGAGAGAAAACAGACACTAAGTACCTGTGTACATTTAATGTGTGAGAACAACTGATAACATAGGCAATCATTAATATTTTCTTACTTTATCTTGATCTCAGAATGATTTTGCCCTCCAAAATAAATTCTTTGCTCTAGAGGTCCAGAAGAGGTTTGGTTCTGTTCCTGGTGTTAAATCTTCCATTTGGAAAGATGCAGACCTTTAAGCTGCCAGCATTACAGATGGCTACCTTTCTATGCCCTCGCTTAAAAACCTAACAAAACTCCTTTTAACCAATTTGACACACAGGTTTACCTTGTTTGAACTCAATAAGCAGTCTGAACTCTGTAATAACCTGACGTCTGCTCAGACAGGCTCACTCTGTTCTCCTAAATCTAATCTGTGTTGGATCTGCCCACTATTAGAAAAATTCAACCTAGGAACCGTATGTAGAAGTCTAATTTACTTCACCAAATACATTTAATCAATTCCACACTATTATTTTCCTTTTGTTCAATGTTTGATTACTTTTATGTCACCTATTAGATACAAACTGCTGTTTTTTACAGTGAGTGATCCAACAAGGCCAATTTCATGTCTCCCATTAGGTAAAGTGACATTTCAATCCAATTCTCTGACAAACTTAGATGAGGATACTGTGTAGTTTGAGCACACACAACGACAAGGCACTTGTCTTTTCAGCCTTTCCTATCAGAACAAACACTCGGGTAAACTGAAAACCTCCCCTTCAGGATTTATTTAAATAGAGCAATCAATACTTTATTTCACCATCCTCTAAAAGGCTTATAAGATAACAAAAACAAGTTCTAAAAAAAAAGAAAACCAACAAATATTTTTTTTTTCTTTTTGTTTAAGGCCAAATTAATTGTTCACTGACAGGCTTTTTGCTCATTAAACTAGACAATATTCATGTTTACAGTTCTTTAATAAGATAACATGGGATTAACTGACAGCTCTTTAATTGCTGCTTTTCTCTTTTTTTCCTCCATACAGACTAAACCTTGCTATAAGCATATCTGCTCAGGTAAAAAAAAAAGAAGAAGAAAAAAAAAGGAAAAAAAAATGCAGTTTCTTACATATCTCTCATCTTCAAGATTTCATCTTTCACTGTCATTCCTTTGTGACTTCAGGTTTGGTTTGCAGCACCTGATAACTAGCATCCCTTCTGCTGATTTCAAAAGTTCTGGTACCTGGTCTCCAGTGCCACATATCACCACGCCACAGCAGCACTACAAACCTTAAACAGGTTTACCTAAGAAAGTAACTGGAATCTAATTAGAATAAGTTCCTATTTAGTGAAACTATGTCTACAGTGAAGTAGAATGAACATTATTGTACAGAGTTGTAATCCACTCTACTGTGCAAACATCCCTACTTAAAACCAAAGATAGTTTGGAAAAAATCCCAACTCCAGTGTAGGATTTACTTATTTGCAACTTGAATTACAAGTTCAGTAACCAGAATGAAACAGAGCACGCTAAATGCAAAGAACTCCTTCTCTTTAACTTACAGACACTAAGTTTGACTCTCCTGTCATCCTAGCATTGTAATTCCAGGGAAATTCCTCTTAAGTCAGCTTAGTTACACCAGAGTAAATGAGAAGAGAATTAGATTCACTGTTTGCAACGAAGAGTGGGGAGTAATTACACCACTGTTTCTACACATACTATTATTAAGCCATCAGTAATTCCCAAGTATACTAAGTATTACATGCAGTACGGGTAAATGTATAGTTTTCATGATTTATTGATGGTAATGGATTAAAAAAAAATAGCTGCACTGAAATCAATTTATTGTCTTTGAATTCTGCTAACTAACATCGCAGAAAAGCTGCTGAAAAATAGGAAATACAATTTCTTAATTGTATGCCATCACTAAGAAAACACATTTACTAATTAGCCCCTAATACTGCTATTTCAGTATAGTCATCTAAGGTTTTACAGCACCATGTTTAAAGTGGGTCTTTTTAGGTCAGAGGGAATGACCTGCAGGTGGTCTCATAAAAGCTCCAATGCAGGCAATGGGGATTACCATAATTACTTTGCCACTGTACAAGTAGTTAATGGGATTACACCCTAAGGCCATCCACTTGTTCACAGTGCCCAGTGCAAATTTTCTGAAAGAATCTGGGTAAGCACAAATGCTTTAACAATATGCTTCATAATTTAATCTACTGCACTGCAAAAGGAGCACTAATAAATTAAAACACTCTAAATCAAAGAAATGGAAAAAAAAAAAATCTAACTACTTTGGTTTCCTGTACATTCTGTCACTGATGCAGTAAGTCTTCCACCTGCCTCCTTCAGGCAGTCTCTGTTCTTCCTCGCTCTCACTGATGTTAGGTCTGAAAGATGCTTCATCATTCCTACTGGGGGTCACAGTCCACACCTTCTTTCTTTGCTGACTTCCATATATTTCCATTTTTAGCCACCCCTTTTATTTCCTTTTCATGCTTGGACTGAATTAACCTCATTTTTTCCACCATGCCTTATAATCACATTCTCATCTAACCCACTCTATTAGTTTCTTTCTTCATCTGTCCATTCCAATAGCTCATCTAAGTTTTAATACTACAATTTGGTTTATCTTCTTATCTTCATACACTGGCCATTCACAGCCTCCTTCTCCTTGTCTTGTCCTGCTTATCTAACACGCATCCACTAAAACCATACTCTTGCTTTTGGAAAATGGTTTCTCCTTCATTATGGCTCCTGTATCTTCTACTGGTGACCTATTATTCCTCAGTCTAACCTGTAGCCCAAGTTTCTTCCTCTCCAATCAACCCCTGCTCATCTCACAAACACTGTTCTAACCACATCACCTCTGCATTATTCCACTCCTCAGCTTCTTCTTAAATATCCCCCTCAATTTTTATTTAATCCCAAAATCCCCATCCTTATCTACACTCTAACTGCTAACTTTCCTCTATCTCTTCTCAATCCAAACTCTACTGTCCTTCTCACTTTGTCTTATCATTTTTTCCCCCAAACTTTTGCTTTTCTAACATCTTGGCCTGATTCTTTATTTATGCTACTGTGCCTCAAACCCTTCCTTCACTTCTAGGTTCTCGTACACATGCTTTCTATATTGACTTCAGAAACAAGATTCATGGTACATTTTCAGATGTAACTGCTATCCCACACCCTGCTTATTGTCTGTCCTATACCTTGCTTATTGTCCTATACCTTGCTTATTGTCCTACATGTAAGGTGCCTTTAGGAAAGGGATCACATCTTTAAAAAGTCCTGACCAATCCCATATAGGTTTATACATATACAAAATAATTAAAGAGTTCGGAGAAAGAAAAAAGCAAATCCCAGATCAACTAATATCAAAGCCCCTTATCCAGTCTGCTCTCTGCAACTGGACCTGTGCAAGCTCCTACACTGCAATAGGCACTGATTCTTTAATTAGATGACTAAGTCATAAGAAATGTTAATTTGTATCTTAACCCAAAAGATAAAACTTAGAGCAGAATTTGGAAAGCAGAGTGACAAGAAGGTACTACGCAAAAATTAATTTCTTGCTCTGTTACTCTTTAGCCTATAAGTTTGTTTAATTAGAACAGCTACGATATCATCCATGAGAATCCACTTGCTATCCCCAAAAGAAAGTACTATGCAACAAAGGATACTGTTTCTGAAATCAGAGGATGCACAGTAGATGCAAGTGTGTCCTTCCTAATTCCCAGAGCAAAACCTGTGGTGGATTTAGATTTAGGGTGCTTGTTCACTCCTTGCCAACTTAGATCAAACTGTTTTCAGAAAGAGAAAAAGAGTCTTTAACTCGCTTCTTGTTTGTTATGCACAGAATGGACCAGAAAGGGAAGACACATACCACAATACTGTGGCTCCACAGCTTAGACACTACAGAATCTGGTTTTGTCTCTGATAGAACAAAAATAAAATTGTGTTCCTCCAAAATAATAGTATAAAAGCAAAAAGCAATCAAAATGCAATTTAAATATAATGAATGTTGAAAAACTGTTTTAGCACAGTTTTCTACAATAAGGATGGACAGATCTCTATGCTTTCTATTCGCATTGAAGTGTTTCCTGCTGTTTGTAAAAACAGCCCTTCATATGTTGGAATATATTTTATGCGTTTATGCATTCATTTTAATGCAAATCTTTCGTGTTTTGCAGTAAACATTTTTAGAATGCATTCTCCACAAAGGAGATAAATAGCCAGTATTATATGCATACCTTAAAAAAAAGTATCTTGTAAAGACATATAGTTCTAAACAGTACATTTTGAGGAAATATTTAAAACAATCAACCAGTAACTAGTTAATTAGCCCTGGCTGCTTCTGTCATTCCCTTGTTACAGCTGGATAGACTCTTAAGATCTACGTAAACAGAATCTATTTACTGAACATCTTACTGACTTTAACAGGCTATAGGTGACATTCTTACTGAATTAGTAATTGCAAGTCCTTATTCCATATACGGAGCACGTGAATACCGATTTTTTATTGTGAAATACCTTTGACTATCAGTTCTGCATAGTTTGATACACCAACTCCTCCTTCTGTCCGAATCATGCAGCGATAGTTGCCAGCGTCCCGCTTCGTGGCATTTACCACACTAAAAAGAGCTACAAATCGGCGAAAGTTGAACACTTTTATGTCCTTCAGAGGTGCATCCCTTACATAAATACCCTAGGTGAAGAAACAAAAATAAAGAATACTGTTAGTCATATTGAAAAAAAATACCGACAACCAATTTTATTTCTCTCAAGTTCCCCAAGAGGGGAGACAAGATAAAAGCAGAAGTCTGTATGTTACTTTTACAGATGTTTATGCTGCGTGAGACTTTACTGCCTTCCCATGTGAGTTAAACCATTCATCATCAGTGGGCGACCACTCATCTGGAACAGCTGCTTTCAGCTCTTTATAGATTAACTAATAGAAAGATTTAAGAGCAATGTAACATTTACTTGCTTGGCTTGCTTTACACAAATATTTGAAGTTATTTCTTTTAAAGAAACATGAAACCCAGCACACTCTGTCTCTGCTCTCTCTTCCCCTCCACGTCTGCTACTTGGCATGTGCACCTTGCACCGCTAACATGGAAATGTCAGTGGACGGTTCTCATACCGCAGCACCTACACCCGAGGTTATCAGTGACCCAGGTGGAAGAGACTAGGCACCGATTTACCAGGCAAATGACCAACAAGGCTGAAGCTGGCTCCATCTCTCCCTTCCTCAGCATGATGTTGGGAACTGGGCAGTTTCTACTTCAGTGCAGTGTCTCACTCTCAATTCAACACAGAGCATGCCCGGCACAAAAAAATGAGCTATGTAACAGCCGAGGAGCACAAGGCCCGGCATAAGTCCCGTGCTACCAGCCTGCTCCCTCCTGTGATCCAGTGCACGGCTGGAGGAGTGAAAAAGGGAGGGTGGCAGACAGAAGAGGGCGGAGATGACATCTTGCCATGTCCTCTGACGCAAAGACAACGGCCGAAAGACTTGGCTCTCAGTTCCACATCAGAACTTGTGTTCCACCTGCCCATGAAATACGGTACATGCACCATGAACACTCAAAAACTGTAAAATCATTTAATTACTAGAGCTAGTTGAAAAAAACCCATAAAATCTAGTGCCAACGTACTCAAACAAGCAAACAAGACAGACACACTTTTCATAGAAAGAGATATTTCAACAAACTGAAGGCTACAGCCATTATCAAAACATCAAAAGAAACTGGAGAACCCCAACAAGCACCTCCCAGGAAGGCATATGCACAGTCTGATGCTATGTAATGATACCAGTTATTTTTAATAGGTTTTTCTGACTTTGGGAGTTTCAAGCAGGGCAAGGGTCCTGCACTACTGAGCTTCTATAAACCAACAACACAGCTGGTGATGTCTAGTTTTCTGCCCTACAGTTTGTAGTCTGTCCAGCAGAATTTAAGACCTGTATCGGAAATACTGACCTAATTTTGTTATGGCCTTTACTTACCACTATATTGAAAGTACCCTTAAAATACCAGCTATAACCAGAGAGTTTCAAATACCAGCCCCATAAAATTAAACTCATACATAAATCACAGAACCAAATCAAAGTTAATCATGCCATTAATGCCAAAGAAGTAACGTAATTAACAGTAAATACTGATTCTCATGCACAGCAAGGTAGAGTCATTCCCTCTTCAAAAATAAATGTGAGTGATGCACAGCTTATTTAAAAGAAAAAAAACGCTTGTAAGATACCCAAAGAAGAATTTACTATCGTGCCTTAAAAATTACTCGGTCTTAAATTAGTACTTGAGAATTACTTCAGATAATCACCAGCTCCTTAAAATTCCTAGAATTCTGAGCTGCTGATAAACCTGCTTCTCTGACGTGGCACGGCAGTTACTGAAAACAAAACTTGGAAAGAAATACTTCAAACTACTACTTCAAAACCACTATTTGTACTGGTTTTGCCACTGTAATAGCAAATATCCTTCTAGCAAGAATGGCTGCAGATAGCAGGAAGCAAGCAGAGTGGGTTAACTGTGACTTTAGAGAAGGAATATTTCTTAAAAGCAACATTATTTTTTACCTAAGACAGCAACTCATTAATCCTCATTATCAGAGCTGCTGACCAGTCACAAAACACATGGTTTTAAAGCATGTTTCTGCAGCTTTCAGACCCTTTAAGGGCTCTGTGCATAGCCAAATCATGCTTACATTACATCCACCCACACTAGTTTTTCCTTTCTTCTAGTCACAACACCAGGAAGCTTTACACAGGCTATTTTATCCTGCCAAGAAACAGGGTAAGTTACTCTCTAGGGAACAACATACTGCCACACACTGATTAATTCTAGTACCTAAACTAGCTTACCTCATTTAGAGTGTGAACAGGCGCTCCAGCCTGCACGGTACACCCACCCTTCCATGCGGGCACCTGCATCCAGAATTTACCAGGACTCTCACGAGTTACAACACAACTGAATAACTGTTTAAATATTGTAAGAATTATTTCTTGCTGTTCCCATCCAACAAAGGCTAGAGGACACCGTTAAAGGGAGAAAGAGAGGAAAGGAAAGGACGAGGCAGTGCCATGAGGCAGTGTAACTTCTGCCTTAAGCCGCAGCCTGTGAACAGAGGGACCATGGAAAGGTATGATGCATGCAAACTCCCCACTGGCCCCACACAGAGGCCACACTGGCACCTTCACACCTCCCAGTGGCCCCCTGAACAATACAGCCTGGGCTGTCATATAAAAATGACAGCAGTCCACGAAGGGAACTGCTCAAATACCCAGCCCTATAGGACATATTTCCCATCCTTTTTTGTGCATAGGTAGAATGAAAACCTGAACTGATCAACGCATTGCAGCATTTATAATGAATTATTATTTCACTGGGGTCCCATAATCTTTTTCACCTTCTGCTGACTCTCGAACACACTGATCTCCCCCGATTTCAAATGTTTTAACTGCTGTTCTGCAACAGGAAATCTTAGCTTGATCAAATATGGCCATGCAACACATGCTGTCCATTCACATGCCAATAATTTTGATTGAAAAAGAGAAGCCAAAGCACATTTCAGAGGCATGCATCGTTGTGCTTGAATAAACAAGCTACATGAGCCTTACATGTAACTCAGCTTGGCTCTACAGAGGATTCGAGCATTTTTGCCCCCCACCAAAATCCAGATGTGAAACAGGCTATTAATAGTGGCTTCAAAATTCACGAAGGAGCTCCAAAATAAAAAGCTTTTATTATTACTATAACACACCTGTAAAATATATGTGAGATTACTATTAATAAATATTATCTTGACTGACTTCTCTTAAACACTACAAACTCAGAGCAAAATGTAGAGAGTCTAATTATATGTTAGAACTCAGAGTGTCACACAGAAGTCACTGGCATGACATTTCCCACTAGAAGTCAGAGAAAAAAAAAATATTAGTCTTTTTGGGAAAATATTTTCAAGGAAAACACAACGTCTGGAACAGACAAAGGCCAAGAAACATAATTACATTACTTTCCACAAGAAAAAGTACAGCTCAAGAGAGCAAATCTTCCCTCTCTTCTGGGACAAGAGCAAATGAGTAGGAGTGCCATCTAATTGATTTAAGCATGAGCACAAAGGAATGGTAATGAAGCTACTGAATTTAAGTACAAGAAAAGTTCAATCCACAGGCACTAGAGAAGAGAGTTAAAAAGGGCGCACAGACCAAAAAAAAAAAAAAAAAAAAAATAGAAACACCCCAACAACCTTTCCCAAACTCTTATTTATACAGCAATGGACAAATGGCAAAAGACTACTTTTGGTCTGAAAAGACGCTATTTCTAATTTGATACACAAATACAGAATGGCTTCTGTTTTAACACACAGCCAGCTTTGCTCCCGTTATTTGTGATTCACATTTCGTTCTCTCCAACTTACTGCACAGTGCCTTCAGGAAGCTGCACAGGTATGCCAGTGGTCACTTTTATGGGTCAGTTACCCATCCGAAATTTGGAGGAGAATGTCAATAATACTTTCTTTTCCATATTTAAAAGGCCCTTTTAAGCACATTGTATGATAAATGACAAGCTCTCAGTCCTGACTGTCAATAGCTATTTCATTTAGAATAGCTAGAAATAACTTACATCAAACGAACATTCATTTATTGAATGTACTAGTACATTCTCCTACAACTTTTTTTACAAAGAATTATTTTTAGCAGCATTCACAAAAATAAGTTTTTAACACTCACTAATGCAACGTTCTGAAGTCCCACAAATAAAAGAGGCCACTTATTATCTATCGCTTTACTAATTATAGTCATTAAAACCTTAATCCCAGTTTTTTTCAGATTGATTCTGAAATTTACCGATAGGTCTTGCGAACTCCCACTTTTTATGTGGAAGCCTGAGTCTTCACAAATACATCGTATCTCACTGAAAATTAAACAAAAAAATGATAAGCCTCTAATTTACTAATCCCATTCCAGAAAAGAGTATAAAATTCATTATTTCCAACACAACACTATGGTACTCTATATTAAAACCCACTAAAACACGTTGCAGGAGCAAATTGTAGTACCCTTCTGTTTCCTGGGTGGGGTTTATTTGTTTGTTTCTTTTAAATACAATTCAAAGATAAACATGGTTCTTTTTACTCTTTTACTTTAGCCCTGTTTTGCCATGTGAAAGACTGAGGCTTTACTACAAACGCAGCCTGCCAGCTTTTCCTGCCTCTGGGACTCGGAGAACTGCGTGAACAGGACACTTCATTCTTTGGAAAGAGGAAACTGCCGTAATCATTTATTGCTAGACCTGCTTGGACTACAAAGGCCACATCCCCAGGGCAGAGCTATCTAACCTTCTTAGAGCAGAAGAATTTTGACCACAAAACAAAGATTGCAAGATGTTGAGATGTAAAACCAAAAATAGCAGATTCTGTTGGCTGCTGAGCAACCTGGATGTTCTCAAATGCTCAGAGAAAGCTTTTAAAAAAATATTCAAAAATGTTATTTAAGCCAACTAATGAAAATAGGTAACTGGTAAGTCACTTGTAGGAATAATTTTTCTATTAAACAACATGTTATTTAATATATAGGGATATACAAAAAATAATCCTAATTTAACCTCAGGATATACACAGCTTGGAAATCCATATTCCTAGTACCAGCGTATTAAATGCATGCAGAGACAGCTTAAAGCACTTTAAAAC